GAAGTTTGTCGTTCTCTCATACAAGGAGGGAAGAAAACCTGTCAAAGCACCTGGCATGACTCACGTCTGAAAACCTTGAGGACAGGCAAAGGCAGGATGGCACTGACAGGGGAATGCAAGACCTTGTTCACGTGAGCTTCCATGATGCACATCATGCAGAAACCTTGCTGGTGACCTGAAGAAGGACACAGGGAAGGTCCTGAAGTTAGCAAAATATCCACAGCAGTGGGGTACTCCTCCTCTTCCACTCCCACTCCAGTGCATTACTCCACTCCTCCCAATATCCCAGTGATCCCAGGGCATTTTAGAAAATGTTCTAAAGAGAAATTATAAACTGACAGTTTTCTGTGCAATAAGCCAAGAGGGTTTAACTTGCAGGAATAAAGACTTGGAGCTACAAAGAAGTGTCTTCATGAAGGGTAAGACAGCTGGGTAGGGCTTCTAGGCTTGAGCGCTCAAAGAACATGAAATCATGGGGCTGACAAAGGGCTGCTGTTCTCCCTAAATCTAATTCCAGGTTCTGGGAACCTCTGGGATTTGACGAACAGATTTTCAAGGAGATGTTGCTAAAAGCACTCACAGGCCTGGCTGTGCTCTCGGGACAGCAGGTAGTTGGCCAGCGGGGGGGTGTAGGTCAAGCACTGCAGCACAGAGTTGAGGAAGCACGTGTTGCCCACGTTGAAGAGCCCAGCCCCAGCCCTCTGTCTCTGCTGCCAGACCATGCAGATCTTCTCTGGTGGAAACAGGATCCTTTTTGGAGGAGCCATTCCCTCAGCAATGACTGCAGAGAAATTCCATTTGGAAAGAGATGAGTTAAAAAAAACATATTTAAACTTTGAGTTCTCCACACAAGCAGTCAGGACAATCAGCTCAAACCTTCAACTCAGTATTAAGGGAAGCCTAGCACTGCCTTTGAAATTTACTGCTTTGGAAAACTCTGCTCCCCTGCTTACTCTGCCAAGAGTCCAACAAACCCCAACTCTGATTTCTGGGCTCCGGGGGTACCTTCCTTTCTCACCAGAGTTGTAGACTGCATTATCAGGTCAAACTTTCCCTGATTGTAACTTATTGAAGGCAAGCAAGTACTGAACACAGAAGGGAACTCAAGGATGTCAGCGCTCTCTATGAGCAATCATATTTCAAAGTCTTGTACATAGTGACAAAGGACAGACAAAAGGTGTTCTCCTGTGACTAATCATAAACACCTGGGTCAGTCTGGCTGCTCTCAGGAAACATTCCAGAGCTCACTTTGGGTTGTGAGCACATCATTCTGGGATCTGACCACCAGTCATGTCAGTTGCCTGGGGGGATTCACAAAGTCCAAACCTGCCAGTGAAGCTGTTACTCACAGAAATCGTTCCCTGTTGTGGCCATTGCCTCTCTCAGGAGCAGAGGGCAAAGCTCTGGATGACCAAGGACATCAGGACATGCTCCAGAAAGAGATCTGTGTCAATCCCATCACCTGATTGCAAAGAAATTACTCTAGTTCACTAAATGTATAAAAACTCCAAATAAATACAACCAACAGAACAGCATTTGCCACCCAGAGTTTCAGTGGTGTGTGTGGTGCTTCAGAGCCAGCTACTGAGCTGCAGGCTCACACCTTTGGGATCAGTGACAGAGCCTGAGCTCACAGGAGGTTCAGAGGTCCCTCTGAAGTGCTCCAGTGCATGTTCCTTTCTCTGAGGAGTCCCTGCTCTGCTGCCACAGCATCCACAGCAGAGCTCTCTGGCTTTCCCACCTCCTCTGCAGGAGTGGCCAGCTTTCAGACACTAATTTAACCACTGCCTTTGCTGCTCTCCTTTTTCTGCCTCACTCCCTCCTGCAGCAGCCAAGGTGGGCTTTTTGCCATTCTGGGCTGAGCCCAGCCCCTCAGACTACAATCACCCCCTACTTACCTATCCTCGGCTATAGTAAAGAGAATCAGCAAATAAGAACTCTAGCCTTTATCTGGGCAGCCTAGAAGATATAAACCAGCCTAGACTTTTATCCCATAACTCCTTCCTCTATGATCTATCTCAAGAATCAAATCATAATTACCTTAGAGAGGATGACAGCTGAGGAGGACAGTAAACCATAAATTTGTTTAAAAGGCAGGCACATGAGTAGCAAAGGAAGAAGCTGAGTTATCCTGAAGGCCAGCACCTCCATTAGCCTGCCTTCAGGATAGCCAGCATTGGGCAGGTGAGGTCACAATCACTGGAGAGGTGCCACATCTCTGCCCCTCTGTGACACATGATGTGGCCTCCCCTTGAGGCCACAGAACCAAATGGTTCCTGGGCAGAGGAACTGCCCAGGGCTGCTCTTACAGGTGGAAATCACTGGGACTCCCCTGTGCTGCTGATGAAGAGGGGTTCACAGGCTGGCAGAGCTGCCACTCCTTCCCCAAACCCCAGAGCTCAACGAGCACAGGGCTGCCCAGAGCTGGCAAAGCCTGGCCACAGCTCTGCCTGGCACACAGGCTGCTGGGCATTTCTGTTCCACTGTGACACTCATGTGGCAAAGCACCCAAGCTCTCACGGGGTCATTTCCAGCGAGTTTTATCTGCCCTCAAGGCTGACCTGGACCTGCAGAGCCTGAGCTGGGTGAACTTGGCTGCCAGGCCCCCACCCAGCTGCTGCCTCTCCTGGGCAGCTTTTTAGCAGCCCCCCATTGACTCCTTCCTCCAGCTTGGTTAGGCTGGGTTTGATCAGACGCAGCTTTAGGCAGATTCCCACTCAGGGCAGCTGGAGGCAGTTTTGTTCCTGCTGCACTTGACCCACGAGGCCTGGAGTTCTGAGCAGCAGGCAGCTGCTGTTCCTCGTGCTCCAAGGAAGCAGCTGGCTGCTATTCACCCCTGACGCCTTCAGATTTTAGCTTTTATATTTTTCATCTATTTGTAATCCTGCAGTTCTTTCCTCTGTAACTCTAAATTCCATATTCAGTGTGAGCTGCTGCTTTCCCATTCTGGGCAGACAAAACAATTCCTCCCCAGGCCTGGGAATCCAGGACACCTCAGGGCTCAAGAGATGGAAACAAAAGTTTGAGTTGTGGGGAGCAAACTGGGAGTAAATTACTTCATTACCTGAAGGTATAATTGGAAGATAAACCCCCAATATGCAAATGGACCAAACTTATAAAAATATAAAAATCCACGACCCACGGTCCATTTTTGGGTGTAGCCCCTGGGGGAACTTCATCTGCCCAAAATGTACCTGAAGGCCCTTCAATAAATAGAACCACTTTTTATTCCCTTAATTTTGTTTGGCCTCTGTGTTTAGGTAGTCCCAAAAGGCATCACCCCCACCTGAACTGGCTGCTTTGGTCCCTGCCCAGCCTGGGCCACCAAGTTTCACCAAGTTCTGTCACAAGGCCATGAAAGCAAGGATGGATTTTTGGAGATCAGGGCCCAGCAAACACCCTCCTGTGGGGAGAGTCTGAGGCACAGGCAGGAGGAACAGAACCACCCCAGCACTGCTGCAATTTATTCCTTTTGCATTTGTGCTCATTTAGCAATTAGGTTTTCCTTCTCATTTCCACCTAGGCAATAATTGCCTTTTTCCCCTGCAATCCTCACAGCAGCCTCAGATCAGGATCCAAGATCTGACCACAGGGAACAGTCTGAGATTTACACAACTCTGCTCAGGAGTGCTGTACAGCAGTCAGGGCTCTGTAAACAGAGAGGGGCACTGAGGAACTCCAGTGGAGGCAATTAATGATGGCACTTCTGATCACTGCCTGTCCCCTGCTCATAGGGCGGCATGACAGCTTTTAATTTAAAAATTTTGAACAAATTTTAATTAACTTTTAAATAAATATCTAATTAATATAAATTTAAACAATTTATTTTTAAAATTTATATTCATTTAAAAAATAATATATTATTAGTAGTATTGTTATATATGTGTTAATATATATTAGTAAATATTATTAGTATATTAATCATAAGCAGCATATTAGTTTTAAACCACTTTTAGCCAGCATTTAGCAAAGCTTGTCATAAGCTGCTATTTTGGGAACAAAGTTTGGAAAAATTACTGGAAAAATTACTGACACTCTAAAGTTTTGCTGAACTAACCTTGACATGCCTCAATGAACAAAGTCTGGAGAGAGACAGAAATATATTGCTGAAATTGGACACAATGAGTGCAGAATTTATAGGTCACAAGGACATTTTGCAGAAACCAGAAGATAAAGAAGAGACTAACAAAGACCATTCAGTACACCACAGAAAACTCTCTACTGTGTTGTGGTTGTTGTATCCATATGGCCAGCCAAGGATGAGATTTTCCCCAGGCTGCAGAGGGTCCAGGTGATGGGGCACTGTAACAAAACTGCTCCCAGCAAAGGTTTGTTCTGATCCCTCTGAGCTGGGGGGAAGCTGCAGCTTCAGGGGAGGGAGGTCTGCTTTCTGCACTTCATTTTGATGCCTCCTCAAAACCACTGCAGATTTAGATAAAAATCAAAGGGTAAGTGCCCAAGAAGGTGTCCTGAGTGCCTTAAACAAAACAGACTTTGGATCCTGATTGCTCCCTAAAGGAGGGAGAACCTGGGTGTCCCTGTGCTCCCTTTGAGGAACCTGGGTGTCCCTCTGCTCCATTGGGAACCTGGGTGTCCCTCTGCTCCCTCAAGGGAATCTGGGTGTCCCTGTGCTCCCTTTGAGGAACTTGGGTGTCCCTCTGCTCCATTGGGAGAACCCAGGTGTCCCTCTGCTCCCTCAGGGGCAGCCTTTGGAGTGACTTTCCCTTTGTGCCAGATTTGTCTGCCCATGGTGTCATTTTGCAGGCACGGGACCCCTTTTGCCTTGCATGACCTTCAAGTTCCCTTCCAGCCCAAATCATTCTGTGGTTCCCCGAGGCCATGGCCTTTCCCTGTCCTCTGAGGACACCGTGCCCAGAACCTGGAACCACCCACTCTGTGACATCAGCCCCAGGGCTGCAGGTGCCATGGGCAATGCAGTGCTGCAGGCACTCGGCTCGGAGGCTGCACTGCAAGAGACAAGCCTTTGTTTCCTGGCAGTGATGAACCTGCTGTACCTCCTCATCCTGCTGGCTGTGTACAGACCTGCACATGGCACCTGGGACAACTGCAAGTATGGTCCCAGGCTCTGTCCCCCGTTGTCACACCCCAAACCCCATGTGGGAGGGAGCAGAAGGAGCCAGCAGGAGCAGCAACAGCTGCTGGGCAGGGCAGGAATCACAGAATCACTGGGTTGGAAGAGACCTTCAAGATCATCAAGTCCAACCCACTCCCCTCAACTAAAGTCTGGCACCCATTTCCACATCCAGGCTTTGTTAAACACATCCAGGGATGGTGACTCCACCACCTCCCTGGGCAGAACATTCCAGTACTTTGTCACTCTAATGACTTTGTGCTTCCAGAGGGACCTGTGGGCAGCGGCCCATGGCTTCTGACTTCAACTCCATAGCTGCTGACTACAGAATGATGACTGGTGCAGGTGCCCTGCCGGGGGCCTGGCCCTGGATTGTCAGCATCCAGGACCCCAGGAAAATAGGCACTGGCCATACGTGTGGAGGGTCCCTCATCAGCCCACAGTGGGTCCTCACAGCAGCCCACTGCTTCCTGCAGGCCAGGTAAGGAGGAGCAAGGAATGAGGGTATGCTCACAGCTGCCCAGCCTGCAGCACCACATGCTGCTCCCCTCCTGGTTCCCTGCAGTGTGCCCAGTGCCTTGGCACTGCAGAGCCCATCAGAAGGCTGGGCTCGTGCCACTGCTGCCCAGGAGCCTCCAGCATGGCATTCCTGCAGCCCAAGGCGTGCTAGGGCAGTCACACTCCTCATTGCTCTGCTTTCCTCTCTGCCTTGGGAAGCAGAAGGCAGGGAAGTGCTGAGCTGCCACAGTGATGCCTTTTTGAGACTACCTAAAAACAGGCCAGACGTACATACAACAGGCCAGATAAAAGTGGTTATATTTATTGAAGGGCCTTCAGGGGCATTTTGGGCAGACAAAGCCCCCCCAGGTGCTACACCCAAAAATGGACCACACATCACAGGTTTTCACACCTATAAGTTTGGTCCATTTGCATATTGGTGGTTAATCTTCCAATTATACCTTCAGGTAATGAAGTAATTTACCCCAGTTTGCTCCCCCAACTCACTTTTGTCTCCATCTCTGGGGCCTGAGGCAGTGAGGTGTCCTGGATTCCCAGGCCTGGAGAGGAGCTGTTGTGTCTGACAAGAATGGGAAAACAGTTCACACCATGTTGCCACATTTCTCTTGTCAGAGAAAAGCAAAACACAGTTCTTCCCAAGAATATTTCTGGGTTTCACATTCTCTGAACCTCAGAGAAAGAAAAAACAATTCTTATCTCATTTACTGCTCGTGTGTTGTTCACAAGTGGAATGCATCGTGGAAGATTGTTTGCCTGAAGGGAATTGATAGCTGGATTCTGGTGTTTTGATTCACTGACCAATTGGATCCTAGGTGTGTGTGTTGAGATTGTTGGCAGACAGTCACGAGATGCTGTGCAGTTGAGTGTTTGGCAGATTCAGTTTAGATGTAATGTAATAGAGATGTAATATAGTGTAGAATAATATAGTATGATAAAGTAATTATTTTGCCTTCTGATAAGATGGAGTTCTCCCGGACGTCAGGCAAAAACATCACCTATAACACTGTGTATGGAGTTTGAAATCATACATTAAGGAGCTGCAGGATTACAAATAGATGAAAAATACAAATAAAGCATCAACAGCACACAGCTCTGCTCCCTCTCAGCCCTCTCTCTGCCTTGCAGGAACGTCACCATGTGGCGTGTGCTGATCGGGGCCACCCAGCTGACCCATCTGGGCCCCGAGGCCCAGGTGCGCCACATCAAGCGGCTGCTGGCCCACCAGGAGTACACGGCTGACTCCCAGCAGAATGACATTGCCCTGCTGGAGCTGGACGAGCCCGTGGAGTGCAGTGACTACGTGCAGCTTGCCTGCGTGCCCAACGCCTCGCTCACGGTGTCCGAGCTGAAAAGCTGCTACATTGCTGGCTGGGGTTCTGCCAGTGCAAAAGGTGAGCTCCCAAAAAGGGTCCTGAGGGTGAGCTGGGCACACTGGAGGAATGGGCTGGGCTTCCAGACGGCAGAGATCAAAGTCAGGATATAGGATGTATGCCTCTGGAGAGATGGGCTTGGCCTGCTCTCCAAAGGCAGAAAGGACACAGCACTTCAGCAGCTGCTCCAGAGGCTAAGCCAAGCCCTAGGGAGAAATATGGGTCTCCTTGAGTCAGGTCTCATAAGCTCTTGGAGATGTATTTCACACCTAAGACAGCTCAGCTACCTTAGAAGGCATAAAATCAGCAGGATGGCGTCTGTGGTAGTGTTGGAAACAAAAAGGTTTTAATAAAAGGCAAAATAACAAACTCTTTACAGAGAAAAACTGATCCAGGTGCAAGAGGCCCTCCTGCCCCTGGTAAAACACCTCACAAAAGCGATTAGTTCCTTTGTTCTCTTCTTTTCCTAGTAAATTGCTCAGGCTGGACTGAGCATCCAATTAGCTATCCTTAAGTCTGAGGTGAAGTCCCCCAGGTCCTATGAGATGCTTTTTCACTTAACTGAGGAGAGAAACTTCTGGGCTTATTTCCATTTTAAGGGGACAAAGGGTAGTTTTGTCACTCCGTCAACAGGGGACACATTCCTCTACTAGGGAACGACTTCACCCGCAGACAGGGGAGTGGAAGTGGCAAGGAGCTGCTGGGTGCTCACTCCTTGCTGTGCTCCCAGCTCAGGGTGCCAGCGATGTCCTGCAGGAAGCCAAGGTCCGTCTCCTGGACATCCAGCTGGTGAACAACAGCCGCTGGTACGCCGGGACCATCCACACCCACAACCTGTGTGCTGGCTACCCACGGGGGGCCATGGACACCTGCCAGGTAGGAGTGCCAGCCCCCAGCAGTAAAGGTGCCCTGTCACCATGGGCTTTGCCTGGCAAATCACTTTTCCCCCACTGCTGGAGTTTCCTTGCCAAGTGCCCGTGTTCCCCAGACCTGCCCCTCTGCCCAGAAAGCCCATCCAGTGTTCCCAGCAGCCCAGAGGTCCAGATTCTGGATCATCCATGCTCTGCTTGTTCAGGATCACTGTGCAGATACAAGAGGGGGTCCTTGCAGACACCACCCTGATCCCAGCTAAGATTCTGGAGACTCCTAGAGTTCTGGAGACTCCAGCACCTGAGCAGAGCCTTTTTGTGCCATGAACACAGCTGGGCAGGGTCTGCAAGAAAAGCAAGCCTCTAGTGCTGAGAGCAGCCACCCAACAGCACCCTAATCCTCCCTCCTCTGTTGCAGGGTGACAGTGGAGGGCCTCTGGTGTGCAAAGACAACCGTGCCAGCTACTTCTGGCTTGTTGGAGTGACCAGCTGGGGAAAAGGCTGTGCCAGAACAAAACGGCCGGGAGTGTACACCTCCACTCAGTACTTCTACAACTGGATCCTGATCCAGATGGGCGTGTGCCCACCCGTAACAGCCACTTCAACACCAGAGTCAGCCTGCATCTCAAGCCCTCTTGAGCAGCCAGAGCCAACACCAACAGAATCAGGCTGCTCTACTCCCACTCCATATCCACAGTCAGTTGAAACAGAGACTCCAACAGCAGAGCCAAGCTTCAGCTCAATCTCCTTTGTAGAGCTAGAGCCAGAGGCAGAGGCAGAGGCAGAGCCAGAGCCAGAGCCAACACCAACAGAGCCAGGCTGCTCTACACCCAGCCCTCAATACCCAACTGCAGCAGCCACACCAGAGTCAGCCTGGACCTCAAACCCCTCTGAAGAGGCAGTGCCAACACAACCTCTCTTGCCCGCTCCACATCCGTACCAGATACTGGAGCAATTCTTAATTCAGGTGCACCAGATGCTGCAGAACCTCATGGGAAAAAAGGCAGGAGGAGAAGGATGAACAGGATCCAGTGCAGGCTGCAGTGGACCATGACCACTTCATACTGGGGCAGTGCCTGCTGATCCAAAGGCAGCCTCAGGGTCAAAGGTGTCCTCTGTCCTGCCCACCTTCCTCCTCTGCATGCACACAAATGCTAAAATTGATTTAGTTGTGGAAATAAAGTTGCCTATTGCCACTGTTAGCACGTGTTTGCAGTCCAGGCCAGTCTCCTGTGCAAAGCAAGGAGTCCCAAGCCAGGCACCAGCAAAACAAAGCTGTGATGGGAGAAGGGAACACAGCTCTTGAGGACAGCAGTTGGGAACATTGTTTTCTGCTGCCCATCAAGGGGATCCCTGGGTGTGGGACTTGAAACTGGGCTCTCTCTTGGCTCAGGAAATGTGGCATTCACATTTTCTGAAAAAATCCCTTCACCCAGGATTTTTCTCCTGGGAAGCTGAGAAGCCTCAGAGAAAAAGAAAACAATTCTTATCTCATTTGCTTGTCTTATATTTTGCTCCTTTGGAATGTGTTTGGACATTGTTTACCGACAGGTGATTGTTTCATTGGATTCTGGTGTGAGTTGTTTTGACTCATGGGCCAATTGGGGCCAAGTGGTGTCAGGACTCTGGAGAGAGTAATGAGTTTAAATTAGTATCTTTTTAGCCTTTTGTAAGTATCCTTTCTGTATTCTTTAGTATAGTATTCTTTAATATATGATAGTATAATAACGTGATAAATTAGCCTTCTGAGAACACGGAGTCAGATTCATCATTCCTGCCTTCATTGGGGCATTCCCTGCAAATACAATAAGGAGACACCATTCTAGAAAGACTCAAGGCTGAAGATTGGCCAGACAGGCTGAGGACGAGTTCTACAGCCAGGAGCAAGGATTTCTGAGCAGAGACAGACAGAAGAGCATTGTGCCACCCCCCATTGTGATAAATGAACTGTGCACAGCTCCCATGCAGACCCTGCTGGCACTCAGACTGACTGCACGTGTCAAACACACAAGGAATATTCTGGCAAGGTGCCTCATGTTCCCCTGCACTGAGCATCTTTACCACTCTTTGTCTAACCTAAACCTACCCCTAACCACTAATCTAACCCTAATCCTTTTATTTCTTAGTGCTGATTTTATCATCAAGTGTCAGCAGTGGGTGTGTAGTGTCAGTGTGCCTGTGTGGTTTTCTCTTTGGTTTGGGGTTTTGTGGGTGTTTTTTGTTGCAGTACTGCTTTTTGTCATTCTGTGGTAGTAGGGACAGGGTTGTAATGAGTGTTACACTGTAAAGAGCACTGGCCTAGAATGTGTTAATTCAACATTTTAGGTTATGTTTATTTATTCTGTATAGATCTATACTCACCCATCCTCCTTTTGTGAAGCGTTCTGGGGTCCAATTAGTTTTTCTGTAAGTTAATATTAATTGTCAGTGTGTCTAGAAATGAGGTTTAATTGTTTTATAAATGGCAGTGCAAAAAAAAATTGCCTCTAAATTGGATAACTCATTGAATTTGCATCATTGCTCATTAACAATTAATTAATACTATTTCTCTGCCCCACAGCAGAGGGGGAGTGTGCCCAAGGATGGGGCCTCATCTCCTGGAGCTGCTCTGCTGCCAACACACACATGCACATTCAAGTAAATAACACTTGAGACCTGAGGTGGATGTAATTTTATTTTACACTAATTTTGGCAGTTCTGGAGAGTAGAGAGAGTCATCATCATTTAAGACTTCATGCTGTCATCTAAGTACTCCATACAAATACAGCTGATAAATGAAAATACAGATTTTAGCACATATATATTGTTGAAATTCATGAGAACAGATAAACAACAACAAGCAGCACATCTTATCCCTGCATTAAATAGCATTTTCCTCTTTCCCACTGATCAAAAGCAAGAAATAGAGAGTTCTGCAAGCCAAGCTATTCCTAGCTTGCATACATCATTTTACCATCAAGGAACGCTTTGCCACACAATATGGCCACTGCCACCCCTTTTAAATTTGACTGAATTTTGTCCATGTAACGGGCAGAATTTGATCCTTCTGCTGGAGAGTGCTCTGGTGATGTATGCTGAGCTACTGAACACTGTTCACAAAACAGCAGGGTGTGTTTATAATTATTACCAACCAGGAAATACAAATCCCCTCTCACAGACAGAGGTGGATTGAGCTGAATAGCAATAAATATCAAATCTACAAAATTACTGAGAATCATATACAAATGGAAAAGGCAAATGTAATAAAATGAAAATTAGCAACATCAAAGACTACCATTCATTAGTAAAACTCTGAGATGTGTAATGACACAGCATTATTTAGCACTTAGCTTTTATTTATTTACTTACAATGTCTTCAAACTGAAATGTTATTTAGTTGCAGTATAAAACATGCCAAGAAGCTGAGCTACTGATCTCAAGTTTGCTTCACAGTGAGTGGTGATATGGCCATTAAATTCAGCATGTGACCCACCAAATCAAATGCTGAGGTCTAATTTTGGACAGGATAAAGATCCTCATGTTTAGGAGAGCTCATGTGGGCCAAATGACCCAAATGTTATTGCACACTGCTTCCTCCACCTGACTGACCATGGATGAGACGCTGGGAGCACACAGGGAGCGTGCCACAGTCACTGGGAGAGAAGGATGGACCAGGAAAGCCTCTTTCCAAAGTGACAACTGGACTGGGACTGAGCAGTCACATATTCCTCTTGTGTTCTGCTGTGCTGCCCATCAGGAGCAGTCCAGGACCTGAGCTGCACAAAACCAGGTTCCAGCTGCTGTTTCACCCTTCTTGCTTCCATCTCTGTGACTAAGGATGTGATCCTTGCTTTGTGAAAAAGCATCTGCATACAGAGAAGACAGGGTAGGTTTGCAATGAGCATGCTGACAAGCATCATCAGGGCAGGAATCTCTTTGGCATGACAGGGTAACCATACTGCCCCTCAAAGTCTTGTTATGGTACCTAGATTGGATCTGTACAGAACAATTACACAAAAAGGATCATTCTTCCTGAAAGCAGCAAAGCCAAGTTGTGACTTTACTGGAAACAACTCCTCCAGGGCAGCAGTCTCAAATGCACTTTTATCAGCAACAACTTCTGTTTCTCCAGCTCTTAGGAGAAGCAATCAGAGTTCAAAGTTTGGCAGGAAAATTATCCTCCAATTTCACCTCTAGAGCGCCCATACCTGGAAAATCCTTCTGTAGCTCGAGCTCACTGGTAGACTGAGTCAGAGCCTTGGCATTTAAGGCTTTCAGCTGCTTCCTGTTATCACTGTCTTCACCATCAGAGATGGGACTTATTTCTTGAATTTTCAAGAGATCTCCAGTACTGAAAGTCTTCTCTGTGTTACTGGAACTCATTCTCAGGGCTCTTGGAGGAAGGCCTTCCTTCCTCGAGCTGATCTTCTGAAGTTTAGCAGGGAGCTTGTTCTTCTCTCCTGGAACATCAGCACAGTCAAGAGGACAAACCTGCTCTCTTCTGCTTTTCTTATCCAAAGGACTATTCAAGAGAGATGACTGGGACAGGTTTTCTTCTTGCTCTTTAACACTGTAAGGAGGAGTGGGGACTTCAAAGGTGGCATGGAACTGAGAATAATCGACACGGAAAAAGCCATCTTCCAGAGACATGACTGGGAGGAACCTGTGACCCCACAGGACTTCATCTTCTGTGTATGAGGTCCTGGCTTGGCACGTCATTCCTGTGCAAATGGACAAGAGCATTCCAAGGTCAGCAAGCAGACTGGCACACGGAACCAGAAATACATGAGGCTGACAGAGAAAAATTAATTTCAGCCAGCAAACCAATGATTTTACAGGTTATAAAATGAGGGAGTTGCTCCTAGACAATCTTCTGATTGTCCAGTCAATGGAGTGCCTCTAATTGACTGACTAAATTTTTATGCAGACTTGCAACCAAGCCATGGCAAAATGTAAAATTAAAACAGTATTAGCTTGTGTGCTGGTTTCAGCTGGGACAGAATTAATTTTCTTCACCGTGTCTAGTATTGGAAGCAATTAGGTCATCCCAAAGTTTCCCTTTCCCAGCCTCAACAATCCTAATTTAGCTTTGAGAGATTAAGTAATACTGTTTCTTGGGAGAAGGAACTATTGCTTGGCAGAGGCTTACAGTGTGGGAAATGAATTTATAGAAAATTCTCAAAACAAGTTTCAAAAATTGGCCTTACAGAAAAGACTAGATACTTTACAGAAATAGAACTATTGTAGTAAGACCCACAAGGGGCAATTTTAGATGATTGGCTTTAAGGCATTTACAGTGTGGTGTAGCTAAAGCTGATAGGCCAAGAAATGCTTATAGTGTATTATAATTAGGAAATAGTTGGCTTCTGATTGGATGGTGTGAATTATAACATCTGTATTTCTCACCCTTTACACAAGACTGAAAATAGAATAAAAGTTGTTAAAACACCTCTCAGTTGCCCCATCTCTGAGTCAGAAAAGAGTATAATCCAACAGAATAAACATACATTAATAAGGTATGTATGTATTATTATTATTATTATTATAATCCAACCTTATATAAGAGTCTAATCCAACAGAATCCTTTGGCAAGGGTCAGGTGTTGGGGGAGACAATGCCAAATAAAAAACATAATCTTGCTGTAGGCTGTGCTACTTTTTCTCCCAACAGTATGTCAAGACAAAAGCTGTGCAGAGACACTGAAGCTCTTCCATGTTCAGACACAGGTGCCATTGTAAACTCATTGAAGATTTTATTCCACTTAGTGCAAAATACATCACTGGTAGTATGTACATGTGTGAACTCTCAGCTAAAATGTGTTCTAACCAAGCTGGCAAATCTGTTACCATGGCACCACAACAGCACTCACAATAATTTATGCAAATATCCCAGGTGAGCAGAACTTTAAGCCTTCCTCTCATGGCAGTCTCCAGAGGCAGAATTAGGAGTTAGTGAGCCCAAACTCTGATTTGCTCTCTGGTTACTGCAACATGGATTCTCAAGTGTCAAATGTCTCCCTTTAAATTTCCAGACAGGTAATTG